CCCCAAAACCCCAAAACCCCACTAATTTTAAATTAGAAAATAAAAGGATTTAACAATAATTAAAATAATAAAATATCACTTTTTAGTTTAATCAATTTTATTATTGAATATAGTCTAAAATTTTTTCTACTAGTTTTTTGCTTAAATTAATGCTAATAATCTATGCTCTTTTATCTAAAAGTTTCCTTACGAGGAGAAGCATGCAAATCTTAGAAAGCTCATAGGAATAAAGAGCTGAATGATTGGAATTATAAATCGTTGATGCTTCAAGCTCGCTCATTTAATTAAAGAAGTCATCGATGTATTCTTGCTTTTTGAAGTCCTTCAATATTCTCAGTTTATGTCCTGACAAAATAATTATCAAAGGGAATCTATCACTGAAATATCTTTGATTTAGTAAGAACACCTAAGATTTTGAATCATCTAATTAGATGACCATTTTCTCTAAAGTAATTCTGTCAATCACATGAAGAGTTTGGTGCATTTAGATGCTTTACATATTCCTTAAAATATTGCAAATGTATCTGCTATTCAACTATGTGTTAACAATAAATTCTTCTTTGGACTGGATGTCTATACTCTAGCTCAAAAACAAATATGGATAATCATTCAATCTAAGATCATAAATATCCATTGATTTATGACTTCTGAAGAAAATTTCATATTTACCAGATTTTCGAGTGCCATAAATTTTGCTCATTTGAATGTAAGATAGGCCTTTCTTCATTAAGATTATATTTTCAATAGCAAAGTTTTTTATATTCAGTACTCTAATTTAATGATTATTTTTAAACCACATCAAGTACTAGTAATTATTCAGGGCAATTATTTATGGCTTTTCTATTACTTGAATGTTTGCTGAATTGTAAACCTTTTGCTTCTTTTTCACAATTCTTACGAGATTACCAAAAAGCATTAGGACTACTTTCTTACTCCTTGCTAGGATCTGGACATTTATACTTAATTTAAGATCCTTGGAAAAATATTTCTTGAGATTCTTATCTAAGACTAATACCCTATTTTGATCATAGACTAGGCCAAGCATTTAACTGTCTCCTTTTTGTATGTATTCAGGAAACTCGTCTACTATAGATTACTTTATCTTAATTTATCTTCACAATAGTTGAAAATCTTAATTTGATATCTATTTAGATTCCTTTGAAGATTAATCTAAGTGTCTGCTTAAAGTACTCCCTTCCATTTTATATCTCTTTCAATATTAATAATTAACCATTTTTAATCATTTCAGACAAGCGGGGTTTTGGGGTTTTGGGG